GTACACAGTAACAACACCACACAGTACACAGTAACAACACCACACAGTACACAGTAACAACACCACACAGTACACAGTAACAACACCACACAGCTGCCACAGATTTCAACTTCTACACAACACTGTCATGGCCTCTGCTATTTGCTCCTTGTTTGAAGAATAAAGAATCAATTACAAATAAACTCACAAATAGCATGTGGGTGAGGGGGGGGGGGATCAGATCTACATTCCCACACATATTATTTCGGTTCTGTCTGCTGGTACAAACTAGAGAACAGGCCTACGTCTGTTAGAGTTAAAGACACTGGTCTTATTTTGTTTGTCTTGGTATGAGATTTACGGCTCTTACAAGACAATTAGGTCATGATATAAGTAGGTCCAGAACAACATACTTAGGGAACCTAACAAATGGGTAACAGAGAAAGATCGGGGAAACGTAGCTTTTTTTAAAAGCACCTGAGCAGAGGAATGAATGGAGAACCATGATCGCCGATGACTGTCGCAGATCTGGCACTGGATGATGATGATAACTGCCCAAGATTAGAGGTGTTACAAGAGAGTAGCATACACTAAAAAAAAGAAGGAGGAGAGATAAGTACGACAGATGTTTGATGAGAAAGAAGGAACAAACCCCAAGACATCACTCGCCAACCACCCACATAATGGTCTGATCATTTTCAGAAATTTTAGAAATAAACAAGGGGCTCTTGTGGCCTAGAGGTTAAGGTGTTCGCCTATCATTCAATAGGTCCCGGGTTCGAATCCGGGTAGCGATAGAAACTTTTCTTCTCTAAAATGTTATCCTTTGACATCCTTTACTACTTTCTTACAATGTTCTGTCGTCTGCTTTCGTCTCCACTTTCTCCGCCCACCCCCTCACCTCTTTTGCCCCCTCCTCTGGGCTCCTGACTCTTTCAGCAGCCTTTCTACTGCTACTCCTTGGCTCCTTCTTACTGCTGTCTTTCTGCCACACCCCTGATCTTCTGGTAGGAAAGATCTACACCTTGCCTTCTCCGACAAGGGCGAACAATCTCGGGGGTCTCGTGTGCAAGCTGTGCATGTTAAAGATCCCTTGGAGGTCCAAAATCGATAAGAGTAGGCTCCGGCCGCCACCTGGGCAAAAATTCAAAATTTCCTACCGACTCCAAATCTTTAATGTGTCCCGCGCGTTAACATGACCTTATGCAGTTGCGAACACCATCACCAAAACAACAACAACAACAACAACAACAACAACAACAACAACAACAAAAACAACAACAACTTTACTTTACTTTTCCGATCCAGCGGCCATTTGGGTTCTAGCCGTTCAGTCTGTCGATATGGCAAAGAATTTAAACAACAACAACAACAACAAAACAACAGCAAGCAACAACAACAACCGCTCCTCCAACCAATAGATAACGTAACCTCTGTACGAACATGTCTTGGTATACTCGAATATCTCCTTGTCGGTCATCGAATTCGAATAGGTCGTTCCATCAGGTCCGATGAAGTCGTCTGCGCTGTTTCCGTTGTAGTTGCCCAACAGTCCTGTCGTTCTACCAGAGTACACCTGGATGACGCTCACGCTCAAGGTCAGGCTGTTTCTGGTCAAAGCAACATCGATGCCAAAATCTGGGGAAAACAGACAAGACATATATCACATTACATTATACTACATTATATCACATTACATTATACTACATTATATCACATTACATTATACTACATTATATCACATTACATTATACTA